AAGTCACTTTTTTTAGAGCAAAAAATAAAACAATATTAATTGTTCTTATTGGATATTTTGCTTCATTTCTTCTCTTCATCCTTCTCCCTCGTAGGGATTTCAATTAGTTAGGTTGTTCATAAAAAAAAAAATAATAAAAAAAAAATAAAAAACATTATTCAATAATATTTTAGTGTGTGTTTATTTCAATTTTCCTTAAAATTGCATTTTCATCTATAATTAGATATATAATTAAACGCATTATCTTTTTTTTTTTTTGGTACAATTAAATGCATTATCTTAGTAATGCTAACTACTGACTAGGCTATATAATAATCATTTTATAGTAAAAATAAAAGATATTAAATTTAAATCACATAACATACGAGTAGTTTAAGAAAAAATTATTTTTTATTGTGCAATTCAAAATCTAAAAACAAAAAAATATGTGATAAGAGTTGTTAGAGATATTATGAGATTTAAAGAATCAATTTTGAGAATTAAATCTTAATTTGATATTATTGCTATTATAACTATTATAATAGAAAAGGGTTTTATGACTTTTTAGTCCATCATAATGGCAATAATATCAAATCTAAGATTTAATTCTCACAATTCATTTTTTAATAGCTTAATATCTCTAATAAGGATATTAGGATCTTCATCCTTGTTAGTCTCAATTAGTAATCTGATTTCAAGCTATCTACTTGAAAAAGAGCTTTCTAGCTACCTGCATTTTTTTAGTAGATAAGAGATTAGTGGATCCACGCCACAGCAAACTTGGAGATAAGGCATTTGATTGATCCTAAAAACAAGATTATAAATTTAAACATTTTCCAAAAACAGAGAAAGAGAAGGAATGTTCATACTGTTGATTATGACCCTGCTAATGCATTCCTTAAACGCTTCAATAATCAAATTCGATTTGGAAAAAACTAATCCAACAATAGAATTAGAGAAGGGATTTGACTATGGTGGCACTAACGAGTAAAATTGAATCCGAGGCAAGTGACCAACCCTCATCTATCTATCCAGGAACACAAATTTCTTATGTTAATAACTACCTAACCCGTAACGAACGAGACAATTCAAAAACGTTTCCTATTGTCCAAAAAATAAAATAATTAACAAGAACGAAAGAAAGGAATGAAACCAGATTATTTGTAGATTTAATTTAAACACACAGACAAAAATAACGAACTAAGGACTTCAAAACAAATATTCTTAATACATATGTTCTTAAAATAGTAATTAATCTTACCTAATATTCTCTAACTATTGAGTACAAAGGTGTGCCTTGTTAAATTAGAGAAGGCAAGAAATTATTTGATTATATGAAATGTCTGTCATGCAGCTCATATAATACTATGCTTGAAATGATATATGTACATAATTAAGAGTATCAAATTATTCGTCATTGCTGAACTTAAGGTAGAAATAAACAAAGGATTAGTTGATCGTTGAGTTTTTTTTTTTTTTTTTCCTCATTAAGAAGAAAATATTCAAAGAGATTCAATATTACGCACTCAAAGACGGCACAATTATTGACAAATG